CAGGATCCATTAAACGTATCCCTTCTCCCCAAGACCAAGAATGGGGGTTGGGGCACTCACATCTCTGTCGTGGTGCACTGGGGGGCACCACTGGGCGTGCTGAGCAAGGCCTTCTCCAGTACAACCTCATGAGCTGGCCACAGGGGCTCCCGTAGATACCGCCGCTCCACATTCTGCTCAAGGGCAGCGAGGCGCATCACAGCCAGGTCCAGCGGGTTGGTGGTTTTACGCTGGGGTGCCAGTCCTTCCCTACCTCGGCCTCTCCAGGTGATATCCTCCTGGGAGTCAGGCAGATGCTCACAGTAGGCCAAGTCTTCCCGAGTAGAGTCTGGGTTGGGACATGTCCAGCCCTGCAGGTGGGAGACAGGAATAAAACTCATTGTAAAGGAAGAAAATTAAGTGTAGAAAAAAATCTAGTGTCATAAGAAATCACTTGTGAAGTGAGGACCCAGGGTTTTTCCTAACAGAGTACAAGCGATGACCGCCTCCCCCTCAACAACTTCCTCCCCAGTGCCAGCCCTAGTGTACCCGAATCTGCAGATCAGACAGGATAACCCGTTGTTCCAGCTCCTCTACCCACTGAAGCACAGCCAGGTCTGTCTCATAGGTCTTCTCTTTGGGGGACCAGCTCATAACCCCTTCTTGAAAGGCAGGTAGCTGACTAGGCTCAAAGATGGGGTCTGAGAACACAGAAGGCAGAGGGAAAGGCCCATCAATGAGGCCACTGTCCGCAACAGCAGCTCAACATTTATCCCTGGGCTCTTTAGCTCAGGCTGGGTCAAAGTATTTATCTTACCTGTAGAGGGCCGCAGGCAGACTTCCTGTAAGAAGTCCCTGTGCTTGTTGAGGTGTTTGTGAAGTGCCTTTTCTCGGATGCCTCGGGGGTGCAGGGCCTTGAGCGTAGCATCCAGTGTCTCAGGATCTTGGATGCACCACCAGCCAGAGCACATCTCTGTGAAGAGTTCACATATGTGGGGAGGGGGGTGGGGGTGGGAACCAGCTATGAATCCTATGGCCCATATCTGATGCCACTCCTACCTATACTCTCACCCATGCCACCTCAAGGGCACTCACCAGGGGGGACAGGCTGGGCTGTCAGCTGGGTTAGATAACGCTGTTCCATCTGTTTGAAGAACTTACTGGGGGGTCTCCCTCTCCGTTTTGGCTGTCCTAGCCCTGTGAGACTCTGTGATGTGCCCCCAGGGTCTCCTGTTCGTCTCTTAGAGGCCATCCCAGGTAAGGGGGTAGAAGAGAGCTGTACTGGAGAACAGGGGTTGGCCGCACTGGGTCTATTCATCTGTGAGATGAAACACAAGATGAGGGCATTTTCACATTTATAGGACCCTAACGGCCCTATCCCTTCCCCCAGCTTCAGCACAAGCCTGCACCCAGGCACTACAGCCTGTGGCAAGATGAAGTCAACTGCCTACCACTAATTCTGGCTACTTACTGGCTTGGAGGAGGCAGGCTGCTGAGGGGAGAGAGCAGGCTGGTCCTCAGAAACTGCTGGGGGTGGTGTAGGGGCAGCATTGCAAGGCATCTGGGCTGAGAAGTTAAACCAGGGAGCTTGAGAATCAGGGATGGACTCTGCCTCATCAGGCTCTGGCTCCTCCAAGGGTTGTGATGGGGTTGGGTCCAGTTTTCCAGGGCTGCTGTCAGGTGTGAGGACTGAGCTGCTCAGCAGGGAGCCGTGGCTCTGAGTCTGGCTCAGCCAAGACAGGAAAGCTGACTGGCTGAGGTCATGCTGGCTCTGACCCAAGGACAAGGGGGAGCCTTCTGGCTCCAGGAACCCATTTTGGGGCTGAGGATGGAGCTGAAGCTGGGGTTGGGGCTGGAGCTGGGGCTGAGCCTGAAGCTGAGGATGGGGCTGAATCTCGGGCTGAAGCTGGGCATCGGGCTGTTCTGAACCCTGACCCCGGCCAGGGGATTTCAGGTGCCTAGGTTGCAGAGACCCAGGCTTAGTTTTCCGAGGTCGGCCTCGGGCCCGGGCAGGAGTACTGGCAGAGGTGCTGGAGCCAGTTAACTCCTTCTTCAGGGAGAAGGGGGCTGGGCTGGGAGCTGGATGGGAGTCAGTTTCCTGCTTTATCACATCCTCAGGAACTGTAAAGAGAAGTGAAGAGTTTAAAGCATCACTAATACATAAGGGGAAGGAAAGAGGGTATATAAATACAGGATAGACATTTTCTTTTTCTCTTGGACTTAATCCGCCCCTTTGAGATTCAATTGGGAACAACTTAGATGCCAATGAACCAAGTATCTGGGAAAGAAACACTATTCTCCCAAGTAATCAAGAAGCAGCAGCATAGTCATAAGCTAACATTTATTAAGAACCAGATAGATGTTAAACACTATCCTAAGAGTATTAACTCATCCTAATCCTCTCAACAGCCCTATGAGGTATACCTATTATCATCCCCACTTTATAAATGAAGAGACTGAAGCACACAGCAGGTAGGTGGGAAGTCTCACCCCACAGCCTGTTCTCTTAACCACTATGCTACACTGATTCTCATAAAATGAAAGAAACTCAAAAAGACTTGACAGAGAAAAAGGAACTGGTTAACTCTGTTAGATAGGACTCAATTCAGGCTCCCATGAAACACCTACATAAGCTCTCCTCTGTTCCTTCCACAAAGATACCAGCCAAATAGGGCAACACCCAGTAGCGGCGTCTATAGCGGTCCTGACCCAAGGAGACGGCCCGAAGCATCTGGGATGAGTGAAGCAGCTTTTTTCGAAAGAAGAGCTGACGCTGGGTAGGCAAGGGAAAGAAAGAGGTATAAAAAAACACATTTCCAAAGAGTGACTCTGTCCAATACACGGGAGCTGCGCAATGGCTCTCAGCTTCCCTAGAAAATTGATCCCATCTGGGGCCCAACTCACAAGGTGATAAATTCTCTCCCAGCCCACATCCCCAGATCCTGGGAGGTTAGAAGCACAGTACCTTGCTTAGTTTTTCTATCTGGCGCTCTAGCTCTGGGATGCTTGATGCTGTGGCATCAACCTGTAGAAGAAGCAAATGGACAATGAAAGGGAATTATTAGATTCAAGAAAGACAAATAATCTATTTCCAACTCCCACTGTCCTCAGTGTGGGGCTAGTACCTCTCCATCTCTTCGCCCCCTGCGGCCATGGACAGTCGCTACAGTCTCTTCCTCTTCCTCTTCTTCCATGCCACTGGTCTCCTCCATGATGCGAGAACTGCGCCTCCGCCCCAGGCCCTCCTCTGGCCCTTGCATCTCCACCTCAGGCCGCCCAGTTCGTTTGGCCAGAGCAGTTTTCAGTCTTAAAACAGAGTAAGGGAAAAATTGCGGTGAGGAACGGGAGACTGCCACAAAAGGAACACCTGCAATCTAAGCCATCCTGAGCCCTGGGGTCAGGTCCCAACCCCATGGGAGAGGCTACAGGCATCGGTTCCAGGGGCAAGTTCTGGCTACGCTTTACTCTTTTGCGCCTTCTCTCCTCTCTAGGCCCCACCCTCTGCCCACCCCTACCTCCGGAGCCGGCCTTCAACAATCCACTTGTTTTTCCTGTAGCTGGACATACTCTCCAGAGTCTTGTCGATCTCACTGTAGAGGAATAGGGAATGAGATTTTGAGGTAGAAGTGGTAGCACAAACAGAAAAGAAGGGAGGCTCAAGGGTAAAGGGGCTGCAGCTGAACAGGAGTTTCATCCTAGGGCCTAGGCTGGATAAATGGCAGAGGAAGGCTTAGATTCTCCCTGGAAAGGTACTAAGATCCAGTCCCCAAGTCGCTCTAGCATCTCCAGAGCATGGCAGTGGACACATCACCCCAGGATTTCTGGAAGGCTAAACCCTTCCCCTTCCCATTCTGACCAAAGCATACAGTAACCATCCCCACCCCAGACCCTCACTTGATGATGAGGGTGGAGCCATTGAGCTCATGCACAAGGAAGGCCAAGACAGCAGCTTTCTGTTGGGGGGGCTGGGCCTGAAAAGGCTGGGTGCGCAGGCTGTCACAGAGGGCTGGCTCCACTCCATATGCCATGAGGAAGCAGCGCAGGATCTCAGATACATTGTCTCTTGTTAGTGGGATCTCCGACACCTTCTCCCCCAAGATCTTTAAGGACTGTTTGGAGGAGAACAGAATGGGAGTTAAGATAAAAAGTGAAATAACACAGGTTGGGTGAATCTGGAACAAGAAAATACACTAGAAGAGAACTATGGGGTGAAGACATAAGAATCAAAGTGCTAACGCATGACGAGAGAAGACAAAGGAAAGGTACAAAAGAAAAGGAGTAAAATAAAGGAAAATGAACAAAATAAGCAGAGGGAAGTCAGAAGAAAAACAGAAGGGAAAAATATAAGGAAAACAAACAGGAAGAAACCAGATCTCCTTTCACTTATCCTGATCACTTCAGGGAGGGACTTTTGTGTGTTTAACTTAAAGACAAAGCAAAACTGAGACACAGCCCTGGATCCCAGGCCCTCCCAACCTACCTGGGGAAGGCCCTCACCTGACAGTAGGAGGGCAGGCCAGGGTCATAGAGCGCAGCCTTCAGGAGCCGCACCAGCAGATCTTGCACCTCACCCAGGCTGTCACCTTGACACAGGAGTCCCTCCTGCAGGACCCCCAGGCTGGGTACATCTTTGGCGGGGTCAAAGCCCAGCACCTTGCCGAAGCTGTGCAGGAATTCCACGATGGTCAAGCAATCTGAGAAGGCCCCACTGGGCAGGATCAGACCAGGGATGCGTGAGAAGTCAGGTAGGGGCTGTAAGGATAAAAGTGGTACGGTTTTCAAACATACCTGAAGGCAACAGTCTGGATATCTAGGAGGTTCTTCTTTTAGTGGAAATGTCTTCACAACTGGCCCCTCCAGGACCCAGGGACCCAGGACCTGTTACTCTCCCCTCACTACCTGGTGATCAGTCAGACACATATCCTCTGTGGGCTTCTTCATCTCTTCCAAGATCATCTGTTGCCTCTGCCGCTCCTCCAAGCGCCTCTGCATGGCCAGCGTTTTTTCGGCTTTACAGCCTGATTTGCCTTTGGCCACTTCCTCCTTTTCCTTCATTTTTACCTTCTCCTTCTTCTCCCTCTTCACTTTTTCCTTCAGTTTTTCCTGCTTTGTCTTTACCTTCTCCTTCTCAGCCTACTCACCCAAAGGAGAGAGGGACCAAGAGTTCCATAAAGATTCCAGTCACCATCCTTCCCTGGTCCCCACGCCCTCCCACCCCTCAGGAGCCCACAAGCGTGGCTATAAAACAAGACCAACTCATATATGTCTTGCAGAATCAGTTTGGTGACTTCAAAGTTGTACTTGTGTGTACATGCACCTACCTTGGATTTCTTCTTAGCTTCCTTCTGCTTTAAGCTCTTGGTCTCTTGTTTCCGCTTGTTTCTGGCCTGTAAACCATAAGGGAAGTCATTTCTCCTCAAACTCTGAAAGCATCTCTGCTTGGGCTAGGATTCAAAAACAGACAAGGGTGCTGGGGAGGAGAGGTGAGAGATGGGATGAGGGGTTGGCAATGGATCAATTCTCTCACCCTGGAGATGCCCACATGATCCTTGAACAAGCCCAATTCTCTAAATCAAGCCCCCCCCGCCGCCCCCGCCGCAAATTCCAGGTACGAAGGTATGCTGCTACATGAGGGGAGGCGGGGAGATGGGGAGGTGGCAAATGTAGGAGAAGGAAGAAGAGATGATGAAGCGGACTGTAGGAAAAGTTAACCCACTGTGTAATCTCTCTGATGTCCCTCACCTGCCCTTGGATAGTAGGCTGACACTCTCCTCGTTGTACCTTCTGCTTCATCTTCTTCTTGATTTTATTCATCTTTGCTTTATCCTCCTCATTCAGTGCTTCTGTGAGGGCAGAAAGAGAAATGAAGAGTGAGGCAGGCAGATTGATCTCCAGCATCCAGAGCAGCACATTCCTGTCACAAAGCTGACTTCCTAAGCAGCTCCCTGAAGAATCTAGTTTTGTTTTTTGGTATATATAATAACATGTTGGGGAGAAAAATGTTGAAGAGACACCTGCTGTGGGGTAGCACAAAGAACTCAAAACTCTCCTGCCCAGAAGTCCCAGCCCCTGGAACAGATTAGACTACTTTAGAAGGGGTCTTAGAGGCCGCAATGGCAGAATAGCCTTGTAACCTGTCTCCTTCCCAGGCTACCTGGCAGGGGCAGCAACCCACAGACTGATTTCAGAGCAGAGAAAGAAAACAAAACCAAACTGCCAGGGAAAAAGGGTGGTCTCCAAAGTTGGAAGCACCAATTAAAAAGAATGTGCCAGAAAGAAAGGGCTCAAATAACGGATACCTCAGTACAATCGGATCAACACTGACATAGCTATTGCTTATGCTCAGTTCTTATGCCCTGCTCTACCAAAAAAATATAAATTTCTCTGCTTTTGGAAGACTGAATATTGAAGTGGAATGCTGAAAACAACAGTGTGTGTTAGAATTGATGTTTTTGATAGGATAGTACCTATTCTATTCTGGCATGGACACACCACCACCATGTCCATACAGCAACGCCCTAAGTTAGACAGATACTACCTACAGATAACCCAGTATAGGCTTCTAGTACAATGTAAGTGTCTTGCTCCAGGTCATATGGTCAGAATGTGGCAGAGCTGCAACTCTGAATAGGAGTGAGAAGACTCCAAATTTTTTCAAACTCTTCATACTATATCAAGGTAAATGCAGTATCTGCTGAAAAATTACACATTTCCTACCTGTCTATCCATTAAAACAGTGCCAATTATCTTTGGATTCAGATGTGAATTCTGAACCTCTGTGATGGTAGCAATGAGTAAGGGTAAAGTGCACAACACAAACCAATAAGCCAAGGAGCTGAAAAATGGCAAGAAAGGACATGGAAGCCCTCTCTTCCCCTATCAACGTCTGGGGACCAACCACCCAAGGCTCCACTAGTATAAGCAATTCAAGAAGAAACAGGCTGCTGAAGTACCACAAAAGTGCTGGGACCTTGGTGCTGCTTTCTAGGGAGGGGAAGGTGATTCAGATTCATTCTTTCCAGATAATTAATGTCAGTCATGCTCCTGGGAAACCCAGGCATTAGTAATTCCTCAACATTTCCAAAACTTCAGGGGCACTGGGTGGCTCAGTCGGTTAAGCACCTGCCTTCAGCTCAGGTCATGATCCCAGAGTCCTGGGATCGAGCCCCGCATTGGGCTCCCTGCTCAGTGGAGTCTGCTTCTCCCTCCCCCTCTCCCTCTGCTCGTGCTCGCTCTCTCACTCTAATAAATAAGTAAAAATCTTAAAATAAAAAAACAAACAAAAAAACGCATTTCCAATACTTCACAGAGCAAGCAGAATCCTAACATAAGAGACACCACTGTACCTTGGGCCTCCAGTTTCTTTATGAGGCGGTTATCTGTCTTATTCAGCAGCTCAGTGATTTTGACCTTGGGTGGCCGACCTCGTCCCCGTTTCACCTTGGGGACTTCCTTAGTCTTGGCCTTCTCAGTGTTTCGAGGTCGGCCCCGTTTCCCAGTAATTGCCTGAATCCTGGATGGGATCTCCTCTGCTGAGAGCTGTACCCACTGCAAGCCCTAAGGTAATGAAGAAGACTATTACAACGTGAGGGTGCAAGCCACCATATCCTCTGAGTCATTTAATGCCCCAGACCCTCCAAACCCCACAAGAAGCTACAGCTTCTCCACCGACTCTTTCTCAGAGACAAAAGCATATTTAACCCTGGGGTGCGCACCTCTGGCGTGTCTCTCTCTTCAAAGAAATCTCCAACAGGCATACGGGGACTGAAACTGAAGTGCTCACGGCGTACATTGTGTACCACGTTGCGGCTCAGGTACTAAAAGGAGGAGGCAAAGTGGCATTAATGAAGTCACAGCCCTATCATGCCTTTGTCCAGCAATAGCACAAACAGAACAGGCCAAAGAGCAGAAAATGCTAGCCTGTTGCCCCTGGGCCCAAGAAAGGAGTCTGTGCTTCCATTAAAATGCCCATGAAATGGAACACAAAGCTTCAGCAAAGCTTGAGTAGTTACATCCTTGTGAAAAGGCATTAAATTATTTCTGTATATTATGTAGTAGGTCCCCTCACTTCTTAGAGAATAGCAAATCTAGCTGCTTTGTACAAACGAAGAGCTTATCCAAAGATTTTCTCCCTTTACCTCGTATTTCTTAGAAATTTAATGTGTATACGTTTTCTGTTTTCCTATGACTTTTAGCTCAAGCAACATATATATCAGTACTTTTTCTTTCTTAGATGTAGTAAAAAAAAAAAAAAAAATTCTGTTTAAAGACAGAAAGGGATTAAATTTTTTTTTTTTCCCTAAAGCTTTCTTGAAGGTCAGGGGCTTTCTCTATGAAAAAGTAGTAAATAGTTCCTGTAATGTTCACTGAAGCCGTAGCCGGCCTTAAATCATCCTTTCTGGCTAAGGGTAGAATAGCGAATACTAGTATATATTGTTCGGGCTGCTTTTAGTTTCTCTTAATCAAAATTTAATTAGATGATAGAATTCAAAAACTTGTATACATGTTCCTACTTGGTGTACTGATAATCATTTGAAAGTAAAGACTTTGTCATACATTACAAAGAAAAAAAAAATGCCCATGAAAGCTACATTACCTTGATCACTTCTGGAAACTGTTTCATCCTCTTCCCACAGGGGCCATAATACCATGTCTCCCCTTGCCATCGGTGGCTACCCTTCTTGATGCGCACCTCTCTCCGCCACCTGCCAGAGAAGCACACGTGCCCTGCTGCCAGGTCACACCCCTACCCACAGCCAAGCCATCCCAGGAGCCAAGCCCAGAGATGACCCTCCCAGCATCTATCTTACTAGAACTGCAGGTAGATGCAAACACAGTGGGAGACACAAGCTTGGCAGGCAGGTAGGCCTGAGCTCTACAAATCCCTCAGAGCCTGGGAGGTGGGGGTAGCAATACACCAAAATGCACAGGCCCAGAAAGACCTCCACCCTGCCTTTACAAGGTCAGCGAGATGAGCAGCCAGGAATCCCCCCCCCAATGCCATTCAAGGCAATTGCTGGGTTTCCGATGAAGAGGATGAAGACTTGGAATAAAGGCAGAAAAGACGGGGGGGGGGGTGGGCAAGCAGAAGGATAAACTTGCTGCTGACTCCATAAAATGACTCTGTAGGCCAAGGTTTAGTAAGGAACTCTGTGTTCTGAGAAACAGATTATTCTAAGACTAAGCCTTATCTTTCTCTCAAAACTTTAAGCAGAACTCAGACTTGGTGACCACAAGTTGCCTAGAGGGGTGGGGGTGGGGACAATCAGGAAGGCAGTCATTCTTATGAGGCCTTTGGTGTCAATTGGCTTGCTCATTCTGGTCACATACTGTTCCTGTCCTTACCTTGCCAAAGAGCATTTAAAAAAAAAAAAAATCCCAATTCATCAAGACTTAGCCACTCCCCACTCACTGCTATCCCTTCTCTAAGCATATAAAACACGTCAGCTAATTTGGGTATCTGAGCTCTAGGGTCACCAGCTGGGTTTGGAAAAGATAACAGCTGCAGCCCCTGGAGCAAAAATCCGAATGGCCACAAGGTGAGGAAAGAATAGGTGAGGGGAGGCAGATCTTGGGAGAAGGAGGAAAGCCTAAGAATCTCAGGCATTATCATTGCAGATAACTGTCCTTTAATCCATTCTTGCCTAGCCCATTCCTCTCCATCTCAAATGAGATGACCTCTCTTCCCTTCTTCCTAAAGTCATTCATTAAATTTGTCAAGGTCAATGTATGTAGCAAACTAGAGCATTTACCCATGTTGGAGGGGAAGACGAACTTCTTCTGGGGTAGCAATACGTCTCCTCAGGACATCACCTTGAGAGGAAGATAGGGGATACCCAACTTAAGAATTCAAGCAAAACAGTGAAACTGGCCAGCAGGGAAGGGCTAAATGCCACACAGGACAAAAACTTTTCTTTAAACTGGCTAGGAATGGAACAGAATCTGGACACTCACCACTACCAGAAGTAGTGACTCCTTCTCCAGTGATCTCTTCCAGGTCAGTGGTGCTTTCAGGGAAGGTGTTGACATCCTTATCTGCTGGGGAGGCTGCTGGGAGGACAGCTACTGGGGAAGCTGCAGGGGACACTTTTGGGGAGGTCACTGGGGAGCCTGTCAAGGAGACTTCTGAGGAGACTGGTGGGAGGGCTGCTGAGGAAGTTGGAGAGACAGCTGGGAAGGCTGCTGGGGAGATGACTGGGGAAATTTCCGGGGAGACTGCTGGCGAAACCGCTGGGGAGACTTCTGGAGAGATTTCCAGGGAGGCTGCTGGCGAAACTGCCAGGGAGATTGCCGGGGAGGCTGTTGGCGGGACTGCTGGTGAAGTTGCTGGATGGAGCTGAATAGTGGATGACTGGTCAGAGGCTGGCTGGGTCAGAGGTGGTGGGAAGTCTGAAGCCTGAGTCTCCATTTCTTCCTGTTCTGCATCACTACCATTATTCAGGTCAAAGCTGTTATCTAGAATGCAAAGGGACAAAAATGGGTAAGGAAAAATGGTGTCCTACAAAACAAGAGAATCTACTCAGTCAAACCTGGACTAACCTAAACAGAGTTACTTAAGAGGACTTTTTCCTAGGGTTGGAAAACATGAAGTAGCCTCTGGCTGTCCTCCCCAGCCATTCATGAAGGTTAAAGGGTAAAAGCTGCTGTATTCACTGTGTGAAGTACCTTTTACCTGGAGCCAATAAGTAAGGCCTTTGGCCACCTTTTTACTGCAAACTCCAAGTCCTACAGGTTCTGGGCACAGGGCAGACAGAAGTCAGAGTGAGCAGCCTGTGCCTTTTTTAGTCCCACGATAGCCCCCTCTCCTCCCAGTAAGGCACCCACCCCTAAGACCCTAACTATGGAACTGGTTCTCTCACCTGTTCTCAGGCCAAAGACTCTTTGTCCTACCTCTCTTCACTTACCTTGCAGGACAGACTCCCCAAGGACAGGTGGAGAGGTGGGGCTGGCAAAGATAGAGGCTGAAGTTTGACTGTCATCTGCCAGGAGACTGAAGGCAGTGGCGTTATTGAGGGAAGGGCAATCAAGGGCAGAAATCACAGGGCTGTCCTCAAGAGGCAGCTTGTCCTCTGCACCCATCAGCTCCGTGTCATCTATACCATAGAGTCCTCCACTCACTGGCTCTTCAGGAGGTGGAAAAATCAGAAAACAAGATTTAAGAAATACTGGTCTCACTATATCCCAATTCTAGTTAATTCACATCATGTTAAGGTTCTTTCTAATATTAAATTAAGGAAATTTTACAACTCTCTCCCTGAAACAGTAAAGTCACCAGGCTATAGGGATTGTAAAAGCTTGAAGTAGAAATGAAGGGCAAAGCACTGGCTCAATATCAACCCAAAGATCAACACAAAATTCTAGCATCCATCTTAAAATCGGCCTTTCTTATATTTCAGTGGGGCAAAAGGTAATTGTTCACTGGCAACAGTTTTCTATTAGAGAAATCTCTATTAGAAATAGTTAGACCCAAACAGCCCAACTGTGTGGTAATAAGTCCTTATCCAGTGATTTATTACAGCCCAGGGCTCCTGGCCAAAAGGAACACTGGGAGAGAACCTGGGAAATGAACCAATTCAGCTCAGAGTGCAGTTGGCCTAGTCAGCCAATGGGATGAAACTGTGGTCGGCCACAGGATTATTTGGATTTGGGCCCCAATGCTCCAAATTCCTCAATACTTTCCCTGGTTTACTATCTCTTCTAGGTGATAGAAGCTGGCTACCTTTTGCATGGACAAATTGAAGGGAGCCAGCCTCTAAGCCTACCCGGTGCCAGAGGGTTGAAGGGCTCCAGAGAGACTTCACTGAGGATTGGAGTGTCTTCCAGTTGATCAGGAAGATGTGAAGGATCATCTAAGCAGCTCACTGTGGGGTCAGGGACCAAGACTGAGACCTCCTGGTGTAATGATTCCACAGAAGGGACAGAGCCATTGTAGCCACACATCTTCAGTTCTAGGAAATCCCAGAAAAGAGCAAAAGTCAAAATCAGTGCCTTCAACTGGCTCATTCAGCTGTAGTAGGCAGGCAGTCTTTGCTAGTGGGATGTTCATTCTTCAGTAATCCTAAGTTATCAGTCCTATGTTGGGTTCCAATCATACCAAGATACTGTAGTGAGCAATGCTAATAAAACCCTATAGCAGGTAAAGAGAGGGGAAAGGAGAGCAGGGTCTGAGACAAGAACCCCATCATGTTCTCAGCTATGTTCCCCATCCAGTGGGAACAGGTGGTAAACAGAGAAAATACCCTGTGATTTTATAGGGTGGTCGCCCTTATATTTGGAATCAATGCCAAAATAAGCATTTATAAATTTTGAGGAAAGAGGAGAGGAACTGTCATATGTACCAATGCTAACAACAACAACAACAACAACAGGAAACTGAGTAGACAAGCAATGTTATGCTATGCCTGCTTCCTTCCCTCCTTCAGGTGCCAATCACTACTAGGGCTCAGCCCACTTTAGCAGCCCAGTCTGGCCTTGCCATAGTCAAGTCAAATTGGCTTCAATGCCCTCTGCTAATGCCCCAACCCCTTCCTATATTTTGGAAGAAGCCCTTCTCGATGCAGGGTGTCTGTTGGGGCTGTTTTGGGCTCGCCCACCTGCCCTCTCCAGGCCAGCAGCTCTGCATGAGCTTGAAATAATTTGCACTCCCACTCGCGCGAGCTGGTGCTGCTGCCACAAAAACACCAGCCACTTGGCTCTGCTAATCACCAACATGCAAATCAGCCTCCACTGCAGAGAGCTGGAAAGACAAGTTTTCCTCACCTCAAAAAGCCACTGCCCCCCATAGCCCCATTTTTCCTCTCCCAGCCCAGCTCACAGACCCAGAGTTATACCTGGCTGCTCTTCTTCCAGCTCCAGGCTGCCTACCAAGCCAGTGCCATTCTCTGCCACAACTGATGTCAGCTCCTTTTCTGCCGCCTCATCAGGATGGATACCACTGCCTACTTCCTGGGAGGGTGCAAAGGTCTGGATGCTGGATCCCAACATAGGAGAAGTCTGTGGGGAGGTGAAAAAACTAGGGGGTCCATTGGGCATCACCTCAAAATTCTGGTCAGGAAAGGAATCATACAGTTCCTGTGAGTCAAAGTTAAGCCCCATGGGACTCTGGGTACCGTTGGCCCAGAACTCTTGGCTCCCAGCCCGAAGGTTAGTGTTGTGACTTGGGGATGAAGGTTGCCGGCTGCCCCCAAGGATGCCGTTGAGTGGGTATTGTCCCCCCGAGAACTGGGAGAGAAGGGGTGGGTCCTTGAGGTTGCTGCCAGGATTGGCAGATGGGTACTGTGAGTAGTTCCAGAGACAGTCGTAGGCCACGCTGGGGTGATGGAGGTGTGAGGTGCTGGAGGAGTGGGGAGCAGAGTTCAAAATCCCTGAAGTAGTAGTGTGAGATACAGTAGATAAGCCATTAACATTCACATCCCCATTCAAACCTGGCAGAGAAAGAGGGAAAAGGGTCAGTTACAGATATGTACGCAAGAAATTCTACCACTTCTACCAAAAGCACAGCACTGACTAGAAAAAGGGAAGGTGAAGGGGAGGGGGATTCCCCCTCTGCTATATTTATAGCTTTTCAGTCTCCAGGGAACACCAAACCCAGATGCTCCTGGATGTAAGCTTAGCAACTGCTTCTGAGGCTGCTGAGTAGGGGGCTGGGGAGCTCTCCTGGCCTATCACAGGAGCGACCAGTAGAGAGCTGGCTGCTGCTGATGCTCAGGGCTTTTTATTTTTTTTAAATGAAGCTGCTTGCAGACTCCCTACAGTGACTTGCATTCTTCTCCACCCTCACTCCCTAGAGGAATTCTTCCCTTGGAGTGGCATGACTGAATTCTCCAGGCCCCCCTTACCCCAGAGCCCGTTTGGTCCTGCAGTGGCACCAGAAGGGACAGCCTCCACCTCACTGGCACATGCAGATCCAGCACTTTGTGCTGGGCTAAGAATAGAATCTGCAGTCACCACAGCGGCAAGATCCCAACTCAGAAGGCTGGGCTTGGCCCCTCCCCATAGAAACTGGAGGGTAATATTGCAGGGGAGAAATGACTGCATGACCAATACCACAGACTTCAGGTCTCGACACCAATGGTAACCTCTGGACTGGAGGACAATTCAAATAAAAGGAACCGAGATACTAAAGAAACTGAGGGGGAGGGGGTCCTCCAGTGAAATAAAGGAGCTTCTATCTATCTGCAACCCCCTTAAGGAGAAGAGAAGGCAGAGGTGGTTAAGTATAAGCCTATGGCAGTATTTTTCTGCTGTAGGAAAGGAGGAAGCATTTGGGCTTCTCTCTGCTTCCAAGTATAAAGTACCTGAAATCCAAGCAAGATTAGAGAAGTACTTGGCAGAGCAATGTACAGAGCAACTGATAAGCCAAATCCAGGAAAAGACCTGATCCTGGCAGCAATACTTCCGTCTGGAATTATAGATGCTTCTCTCTAGGGACCTAGGTAAAAACTCTCTCTGTCCCTCTCTCCTACTCTCAAGGACAGGGGTGGCACAGACTTCAAGTATCTGCGCTCTTCTCTTATTACACAAATTTAAAGGCAAACACATCCCAACCTTCACCCAACCCCTCCACCCCCAATCCTAGGGCTGGCTTCTCTAACCTTTAAAAACAGCTTTTCAGAGGGCCGGACCTTTCTCTCTCTCACGGGTCCATAAGTGGGTACCGGAAGCAGTAGCCACCTCACCGCTCTCTGGCAGTAGCCAGGGAACAGGGCTGACAGAAGAGCAGACCAAGATGAAAAAGCCAGTATGTTTTTCTAACCCCTTCCTACCTAAGTCAAGACTAAGAGTGCTGCTTCCATAAATCCCCAGAACTTATTCTTAGAAACTTGGTTTCTCTCCAGCAGCTGGAGTTCTGAGGATTTACTTCCTCCCTCCCCACCTGGCAGGAAAAAAGACCTGTTGTGAGGTAGCTAGCCCAGAGGGGAGCCAAATCTTGTCCCATCAACCTGCTCTAAAGGAAGGATGCCCACTCCCTCCCCAGGCCATGTGGCCCTCACACTCACTTTTCCCTTGCTGGGGGAAGTTCATGGGAGACCCGTTAGTGTAGAGGCCCTCCCCTGAGGAGGGAGAGGGTTTCAGTCCTGAGGCAGCAGGTGCAGGGGGAAGGCCAGTAAAGTTAAAATGGTCGTTTGCCTCCATTTCTGTAGGAGGGGAGAGAGGGGAAAAAAAAAACACTGGCGGTTAAACAAGATTATATCACCTGGAATCTTCCAGAGGGAATGCCCCCTCCCTTCCCTCTACTTACCCTTCTCCTACCTATGTATTGGGGGGTATTTCGGGAAGTACAGGTTGAAAAAAGAGAAGAGGAGGAGGAAATATACCCGTAACCTGGGCAATGACCCTAGAGCCTGGAGTAATCATCCCCCTGTGTAAACCCCACACTCTTAACTTCTAGTCCAGGTTATCCCTCTATGTTAGATATGATATTATTAATCCTCTATTATAACATTTAACCTTTTCCATCCTTTAGTTTTCCTTCCCCTCAAGGTAAGGCCAGAGTCCCACTTCCATGGGCCACAGAAGGTTCTCAATGCCATCTTTTTTATAAGAAGCCATGGAGATGGGGGTATTGGCAGGAAAAGCATATTTGATACATATGCTGCTTTGTTTTATCATTATACTTGAGTTAAATAATTTCCATCTTATCCTATCCATAGCCCTAGGCATCTAAAGAAGATAGCAATTACCTTGACAAAGGGATTTGAAAAGAATACATTTAGGAAAGGTGACCATAATGGCAAAACTCAAATCATCCAGCAACACTTCTATTCTTTTTCATG